GATAGTTATTAATTTTTCGGTGTCAAATTGTTAAATGGACATGTACATTCGTTCATTAATCAATAGTTGGTATAAATATTTTTACGCAGAGAAACTCCGAATGAAAAGTAACGATGAAATTTTAATGATTCGGGCTAACGTACTGTCGTTTGTGTGCAGACGTAGAGGATCGAGGATCTCAAAGGGGTAGTTGCAGAAGTTCGTCGTCGCTCATCTGCTGCAATTATACGCGTAGGCCTCTAAGTTTATGCGCGTTCGTACGTGCTCGTGTTTGTGTATATATATGTATATACACTTTACGTGGGTGCGTACGTGCGTAATTGTCTGGGTGCCCGTGTTTATATTTGCATTAAGCGAGTGCACCACCTGCATTCGCGTACGCGTGTGATTATGCGGGTGGTAATGATATATAAACACGCGATGTAATTACGAGAGTACGTGTATACGCGGTCTCTCTGTTAGCTAGAAGGTTATGTTGGTGAGCGGGTGAGCGGGAGCTTGTTGCCGCGACAACTGAACACACGTGTCGATTCACTTGTTCGTTCGGCAACGCGATCGCCGACTAAGCGGGAGAGCAACTGGAGAACCAGTGCGAGGAAGTCTAGCCAGGCCCGACCAGCCGAGTCCCGACACTCCCGCACTCCCGGCTCGTTTACTTAGTTTGGCTCTTAGGTCAGCTGGCGGCTCTTAATCGTGACGTTTCCCAGTGTCGATTGAGCATCACGCGTATTAGCCTAAGAATATACGTTTCATTTTTTTTTTTTTCAATGATAACAATAACACGCGACATCTCCTCTTTCCATTTCATTTAAATTGTGCCTTATCGCTCACGATACTTTAATCGTCGTCGCAGTCGTTGTTATCTTTATTTCTATAGAAACTTGCTTTTATAGAAATCATCGATATTGCAAATATTAATTTATAAAGTTAGATAAATCGTTCGCTTTTATGTTTTAATGGCCCGTAGCAATATTAAAGTTGAGCGTATCTTAAGTTTTAACCAGTTTTTCGCGTTCTATAATATTTCAATATTCATAATCCTTACTCATTTATTACAATTACGTGTGATTTTGGTAAACCAATAATTGTGCAGAAATGTAATTATAATGTAATTATATTAAGTTCAGTTATCAGTTTATATTATATTTATTACAATTTATACATTGACTTCCGGTATCGTATCATTCCAATTGAAAAAATTTGTTTTAATAAATATTAAAAATATTTTTATGTCATCAATTTTTATTACCACATGCATACAGACCCAGACTATATCCATATAATTTATAATAATTAATCATTATTATTTCACTATGTTAAATATCAATTGCATATATTTAATGATAAATATATTTATACAATTTATGAATAGAATACTATCTTGATTACAGTTCAAATAGAGGAAAAACGGTCGATATAATAGGAAATTACACGACTGAATGACAGTTTGCATTAGTCGTTTGTTTGCAAATAGAATTGGAAGTTTATAGATACCAAACTCTTCCGTGTACACAAAAAAGGTCTACTAATCCATCGGTACTTGATGCTGACATCAAGTATCGATATGCAACATTATTTTCATAAAATATAAAATTTACTACAATATATGCTATAATATAATATATATATATATATATGCATATATAAATTACTCTCTTCTTTTTTATAATTCGCATATTTAATAAATTTGATGAAAAAACATGAACAGCACATACTCATCTAAACGACTACCTCAATATAAATTGATTAACAATCGATAAAAATTGCCAAATTCAAGTTTAATAATATAAAGTGGAGTTTCCTATTCAAATGTAACTTACCGAAATTTTAGAAAAGGTGCCGTTTCTATAACACCATTCATCTATTAAGGTGATTGAATATCTATTAAGTACGTCGACTGGATGCCAACACTATAATAGTATACTACTAAATTGTTCTCGTTATAAAATATTACGATGCATAAAATATGTCATTAACGCGTTGCAAACCAGACACAAATTTCAATTATTTTGATTGCTTCATTATGTGATTATACTATTCACTGCACCAAAAAAAGCACCAATTTCAAATAATTGATTTACTAAATAAGCAATAAAGTAAATTAATTATAAAAGTAAGTAAATCATACGTATAATTAATCATTTATTATCATAATTAGTATCATAATTAATGTAGATCGTGAATTTGATGTGCAAGTTGATATATAACAACGTTTGTTAGTTTAAATGATATTTTAATTATAGACCTTCCTTCAAGAATTTATTAACACTACGAAATTTTAATATAACATTGATGCAGCGCTAACAACAAAAAATAGTTATAAAGGTAATTTAATGATATATTGTTTTGGAATAGTTTGTTTCAAGAATCTCTTCATTTTATAAATTTTAATAAAATTTCATTGTTAAATATATCTACTCGAATAGCTATCTATTTTTCAATTAACGTCATTTGATTAAAGCATAGACTGTGTACACTATTTTCATTGAATATGCCAATAATTTACTGTAAGTGAAAATGGAAACTAATTGAAAAGCTCGAAATTGCATCCAATAATAGGAAATGGGAAATTCATAGATGCGCGCGAATTTCAAATGATCTATAAAAAATATAAAACTAAAATAGTAAATTACGTCATAGTAACGTTATTATTCTGTAAGAACAAGTTCTAATGAATATACAGTATATATACAAATATACAGTAGAAAATTTGTATTTTTCTATTTTCGGACAAACGAGTGTGACTAATTTAACATTAAATATCATTTAGTAAGGAAGAGAAATATAATTGGATGATCAATGACTTATATTTTCTATGAACATTGTCCCTTAGTGAAGCATCGGCGCCAAAATTAAAATAATATTAAAGCATATAATATTATTGAAAATTATTGCCTTTAGTTCTGTAATACAAAATAATATGTATAATTGGAATTAAGAAATTTTAATATTTAAAATTTGGAATATAACAAATAAATTTGATGAAAAATATATAGACAAAATACGACAAAGTAAAAAGTAAAAAGTGTGAATTCATTTTTCAATAGAACAGAAACATATTGAGATTTCTACATGAAATTAAGCCAACGTTTCAAGCCATTTCATATAATCGACAATGTTCACATATTCTCACATATTCAACTGGAAAAGCTGTCAAGGCCATGAAGAATGCAGGAGCATGAACAATAAAAATGGCCGACGACCAATGAAAATTAAAAAGTGATGTTATTGAGTCTCGAGAAGAGCGGGAATATCTGAATAGTATAGATACAAAATCAAAAGAAACTTTATTATTTTTATAAAAATGAATTTATAAAATTTGGACATTTTCGGAGTCTAAAATTTATTTTATAAATTGGAATTTTACTTTAGTATCTTTTATTTTTCAAAGACTGCAGTGTCAAAACTCCTATCATCATAATAAGTACCCATATCGTTAAAAAGTGTGTACTATAAATCGATTGAAAACTTTCATATGTTTAATTAAGAAGTCATAATAATTAGATTAAATAGGAAAAAAAGAGGGAAAAAATTTAATTCATTTGTAATTAATAAAAAATCTAAATATTTACATTTTAGACCATTGAATTTCGAATGAGACTTATGTTTAAAATACTGTATATTAAAGCTCGTGTATCTATTATTTTAGAGAAAACAATATAAAAGCATATTACAGTGGTACAGATTAGCGAGCGCCAAGTTAACATAATTACTAAAGTCGTCGGGAATGCTTTCACTAGCCACCTATAATACGATACGCAATTGCAAAAACATCGTTTCATAATGTCCTATACTGAGATGAATAAATATAACAATTTCATTTACAGAAACTCAGAATAGAGACGCACCGCTTTCCCATTAAAATTAGCCCGTATCCAGTCGTAAAATAAACTAATATAATTAATTCTAACGGCCTTTCATAACGCCTATATTGTTTTATTTAAATGTCAGGCGCGCAATAAGGCGAATAAGCTCGAACGTTCGGTATACAGGGAACGTTAACACCTCCACGTGCTGCGATCTATCAGTCTTGCGTTCAACACTCTCACCCTTACGCGCATGCACATCGTCCCAAATCATAACCACGATAAAGTGCTTCCATCGCATCCAGAATAAAACGCCAAGAAACTCGTTTTGATCTCAACGACAGCAACGTTCCCTCGCTCTCGAACAAATTAGACAATTTATAAAGCTCGGAGAGTTCGAATTTGCCGCGTATATTGTCACAATATGGCCTCCCGATCCCCACCTACTCAACAGCCAATGATCACGTCTTAATAATCGGCCGCGCCATTTTCCCATCTCCAACCAATTCGTAATTCCCTGCCACCATGCTACACCTACAAAGTACTGTACAACTGGCGTGTGCAATGATATCCGAATGCCGATAGAAGCAGTCACGCACATTAATATGCGCGTTCATGCCTCGTCGCCGCTCATAACAATTCGACAGTTAAAGGGGAGTTTGCCGTCGCACGTCGCAGTCATCGTGTAGAGTTTAGGTATATAATGGCTCGTGCCCCTGCCTATAAGCAATATTGTTGGGCAGTCCGGACGAGTGTCGGCTGTCCGTCTCGAATTCATTGACCGCCGCATTTTGTATCTCCGTTAGCACTTGGCCGCGCGGACGCCGCTATCCGCGACTGGCGCATACGGGTTATCGCGGACATCGGAGGAGCGGCGGATTCGCCAGTCGGTGAACGTCGATGCCACGTTAGCGACGATGGGGATAGAGTGCTGGCACCTCGTCCTGAGGATCGCCGAGGGAGCATCGCCGAGCGGTAGTGAAGTCGCGGGAGCGCTGGAGCTCGCCTCGTGCCCGTCGAGAGTCGGCCCCGTAGCGCAGGACGCGTAACGAGGACGAAGAGTGTGAGAGAAGTCGTGGCCCCGGATTGTACGTCTCGCGGGCTGAGAACCGCGAGGCCACTCGGTGCTGGACTCGAGGACCTCGGCCGCACGACCTCCTCGCCGTCGGCCATTGTCTTTGGACGTTGACATGGAAGCCTATCAAAATGGCAGAAGCCGCGCAAATGTTTTTGTTCCTATATAAGTCCAAGTACCGGCGAAAAGCTGCGAGAGTCCGTGTCGATCGGGGTGAGCGACGAACGCGCGCCGATGAAGAGGAGGATGACGAGGAGGCCGAGGAGGGGCCGGAGTGCCCCGGTGGTAGGCGGAAGTTCGCCGGCTCGTCCGTGCTTTGGAGCATCGTTGTCTGGACGACGTTGCTGCAGTGCGCGGCGCCCTTGGAGACGGCTGCCGCGAGTTCGGCGACGAGTTTGGCTGGGTCCAATGCGTCAACCTGCGATCTTGAGAGTTGCCTTAATGGAAACTGCATCAATGGTAGTTGCCTCTGTCGGGAGGGCTGGCAGGGTCCCAACTGTCAGTACTGCGCTAGTAAAGTCAGGTGGGATTGAGTGCTTACTATTTACATTTTTTTTTTTTTTAGCAAGACTTCCTTCTCATTTACAGTTTCCTCCTCTTAATTATCGACTATATATGCATCATATGCGTGTGTGTGTGTGTGTGTAGGTGTAGGTGTAGGTGTAGGTGATGTTATGCCAAAGTACCAAAACATTGCTATCGATGCCTCATTGCATTTTTATTTCAAAAAGTATGTTATCTCCAATTTGTCCATCGTTATTATTATCTTTATCTCAATGTTATCTTAAATACCATGTTAAGCTTAAGATACCATGATCAATTTTACTTTAGAATTACACAATTTTATAATAAATTTTTATACGCCTAGGTGGTGATCATCTTAACATCTTTACAAACCTTGAGTATAGATAAATAAATTAGAAACGAAGAACCAATATCAGCAATTATATTGGTAAATTAATAATTGCAGATTACTCTATTGGTTACATAATAAAATTAGCAATTTACTTATCTGGGATGTTGTTATTAACAAACTGAATTCATAATGAACTGTAAATAACATTATTGATTTGGTGATTTGAAAAATTATTTATAGATAAAACATCAAGATTTTTATTGTTTATAAAAATTCATTTATATAAAGATGAATTATTGGTAATATTAGAACAATTATTCCTTATAAATAGCTTGCATATTGTTGTTGTGCATTTAATTAAAGTGTTATTTGGTGTGCATTGAACGACACACACACTCTCACACATACAGATATATATATATATATATATATATATATATATATATATATATATATAAATGCATTTGCGTGTGTGTGGATATAACCTAAATATAAAATATCAAATATCAAATATCAAATATCAAATATCAAAATACTAAGAAAATGGTGTCTTTGCATTTTTATTAGTAACCTAAAATTAAATATTTTAATAGTCTTTTCTTCATCCAAACTATGTATGTATATATTTTTTGTTTTGTTTATAACTGTGTATTTAAAACTATATATATATATATATATGTAGAGAGAGAGAGAGAGAGAGTGAGAAAGTTAAAACACACTAGATACTTTACAGTAATAAATTTTAATTTTTAAATTTTTTCAGTAATTAGCAATTAAATTTAATGCCTAAATATTAAATACAGTTTTCCAAATTATTCTAAAATTCTCTCCATGAAATTGAATAAGTTACAATAATGTTTTCAAAATTTATAAAACAAAATAGGTCAATAATCTTCAATATGTATGTCTTTATGAACTTAATATCTATTACATGCCACATTTAAAAAAAATAAAAGGAATTTGCTATTGTTCTATAGTATTAGAAGGATTATATAAAGATTTGCTAAAGTTGTGTTTTACAATACTTTGATTTTTGTTTTTTAATATAATAAAGAAATTATTCTAGTAAGTTTCTTCTGGATATCTTAAATATAATTATATTAAGGTTTAATGTGCTTATGTACTGAGTAATAATAACCGTATGCTATGATATTAATTCCATATCTGATATTACTAAAACCTTGTCACAATCCTTACATGTAGGAATTATTTTTATTAAATTTTTAATAATAATAAAAAAAGATAAGCTTATGTTAGTGTAATGATTGTATTTCAAAACAAATTTGTGTTTATTCACATTTCTTATCTTTCTATAATCATGTTATAAAATGTATTTCGTATATTCTACATTAGAATTATTCATTGGCTGTCATTGCATAGTCTAACTAATGTATTAAATTAGTACACAGTGATGTAAAAACAAATTTCCTATACCCTTAGTTACTAAATATACACGTCTGTACATTAAAATGTACATATATTACATGATAATTGAAAGATATCATTACGACTAAATTTTAATCTAATTAAATTTTGTAAAACAATTGATTTGAGTAAATTATTTAATTGAAGAAAAATCATATATGACATTTTATATTAAATTAGATTCGCGGAAAACATAAAAAAAATACATAAAGATATAGTCACGTAATACGAATGTGCGGTGTAAATTATATCGTATAAAAAAACAAAAAACAAGGCTCTTCATCAAAACATGAGACGATGTCTCCTCACTACTCATCCTTTACCAACCTAACCGATGCTTATCTCATTCATTGACGAATGAAATTAATTATGAGCCTTATTAAAAATGTACAATGATTTAGGTACAATGATTGAAATTTTTATTAAAAAATTTAAGATGAACATTATTGATTTTTTGAACCAACCTTTGCAAATATTTATATTTGTAAATTACTTAAATGTCCAAATTTTATTTTCATTTTTAGAAATTTGTACAAAATTTATTTTTTCATTTTTGTACAAACTTAACCAAGTACCAACGATTCTTAAATGTTTTATACATTTTGTTTTTCTTCATAGGCTTTACTTTTTGTTACGTTGCTATATGTTTTAAATAAATATTTTTCATTAAATATCGTTACAATTTTTTCCTGAGATTTTATGTCAGATTTAATTCCATAATAATTTAATTTTTTTTTAAGATTTAATTTTATATTTTACAAACATAGATGTAATAAATTTAAAAAATTAAATTTTATTATAGCACTGATGATAATGATTACATCATATAATATTTATAATGACTAGAATAACAGTTGCTTATGATATGAATATCTGAATCTTAATTTCGTATATTTAATTAAAATATCTTACAAAAACAATAAGAAATGGAATAGATTTTTTTAAACGTATTTTCGCATTATGCAATATAATTTGTGAAAACTTCAGTGAAATATCGCGTATCATATTATAAAAAAAGCAAAGACAGAAGGAAGTCCTATTCATGTCATACTATGTACCGTTAATTGGTTTATTCTAAAATGTAATGTGAGAGGCTAATTATACGATTAGATCGGTATCGAATATGTTACAAATTTATATCGTAAAAGAAATTTAACGCTCAAGTTTGGAATTAACGACCATATAAAGAGTAACTAAAATTTAAAGATTATAAGGTACTCTGTGTACGTATGCTCTAAAATAATATTGACTTAAGAATTAATTGACAGCTAATGTTGCTGTTCGGAAATTGAAAACTCTTATAAACACGTATAATTGCGAATTCTTAATATGTAATTACATTGTCTTTTACAAATGCCACCATAATCGAACATTCGATGTATATTTTGTAAAAGATTTCAACTTCATAATGCTAGAAAGGTCATAAATGAAAGTAGACTTTTATTGCTGCGCCTTAAAATCAAATGGAATAAGATTTCAGTATTACAAAGAAAAAGATTTCTCGTAAGTACGAATGTGCGAATCAAGAGCTACGCTTTAACGGTAAATCGACCACTCCGCCAATGGACGGCACCGTCGTCTCCTATCCGCACAACTCGGGTTTAAGATCTTTCTACGTAAGTCTTTGGCTTTTGTGTGCTTTGTCGCTAGCTTGACAAGTAAAAAAGATGGAAGAAAAAAAGGATGAAAGCTCAGGCACATGGGCGCAAAGCTGTTGGTAATTTTAGAATGCTTGCGAGTTTTGGGATTAAATATTTAACGCATTCACTTATATCTCCGAAACTCGCTTACGAAGACAATTAAGAAAGGCTGAAATACAATATGAATAATTTTGATAGAGTGATTAATTGCCTATTGGATAAAAATTATAATTTTATCTGAGTAGTTTACGATTTCCGTTATTCTAAGCACATCGGAAATCGTATATCGTAATCGGATATCGTACGTGAAAAATCCTTAAATCGTTTTTTTTTAATCAGTCAATTAAAAGGCTTTTTTTATCCGACAAAGTTGTTTTATCGTCTTCTGTTTTCTGCCATCTAATTAAATCATCTACTAACTAAACATTTTAAAAACAGTACATGTAGAACAATTTAAAAAAAAAAATAACTTTAGGAAAAGATTTGAAATACATGTATTTTATTTAGCAATTTTTTAAAAATATTTTCATTTTCCGTATTGGCAAGTAATCGTTATAGCAGTTTTGCTGTAAAATTCTTTTAAAATATAACTTTTAGTAATTAAGGCATTCGATCATTACTTTCATGAATTATTTAAAAAGGAATATTTGCATTTTATATAAATCACTAAAAGATTGTATCTGTATATAGTTAATTCGTTTGTAAAATTTAGCACATAGGCATATTTTTTACGAATATTGAAAAAAAAAAGTTTTTATAAAACATATCACCCTCGGGTTTGAATTGGCTGGGGGGGGGAGGGGGGAGGGAGACGTATTTTTCATGCAGATCATACTTTATAGTACCATTTATAATCAAATTGACAATACAATAATCATGTTACAAGTTATTGTACAGTTTATATAAATGTTCATTAATCATACTGAAACTTTTACGAAATACTAATGCATTTTTATATTTTATAATCTAGTTAAAAACATATTGAAAACTATTTGAAGCTAAATCTAATTATATAGCGAAATCTAGCACATATAATTAAAAGGTTTATTACGGTACAATTTTTAAAATTATTTTTCTGTCAAGTGACTATTTCATATTTATTTTTTATATAAATGGAATAAAATATCTTTTTAGCATTTATTGTAATTTGTATCACTAAAACTTTTGATGATATGAAATATTAAAGTATCTTTGAAAATGATAAGTATTCTTTACAATACAATATAATTTCCATATTATTTACTGTAAGTATTTTAACCTACGAATTTTTAATTAGTAACCATTAAAAATATATTGATATATGACTAGATATGTACATGCTATGTATACACACACACACACACACATATATATATATATATATATATATATATATAATAAATATATATAATAAATATATATGAACTTTTTAAATATGTCGAGTTATTTTTAATTTATAATTATTCAAATTTATTTATTTAGTTCGAACTTTAAGAATTAGCTGCTGCTGTATTAAGAAAAGCCTATCATAAAATATTACTATTTATATTAAAGTTTTTAATATCTCAATAATAACTACGAGATATTTATTATGAGTAATAGTAACAAACTGTTTATTTGTATTTATAGATCATACTCTAGTTTTCTAGTTCTTGTGGTTAGTCTCTAAATCGTTTTTTACATTACACTAGGAAACTCAGGAAATTAAATTTCCTGAATAATTCTTAAATAACGTAAATGAGAAATATTTTTATAAAATCTTTCCAAAACGAATGAAAACTTCAACTAATTTAATCTATATTTTTCAAGTTATTGGCGCGAGAATTATGGAAGGAGCGGCGGCGGTTTTATTGTCGATCCAACTAACTATCCAACTTCATCGTATAATTTACCGTCCTTCTTAGCTTCATTCTGATAGCCGTTACTTTATATCTTTAAATCCACATATATTAAGAATATATCGTATACAATTATTTAGAAATAAGAGGGCGTAATTATTATTATTTTTTTAGTTTTCGTTTTTTCCCTGAACGCAAATATAGCTTCTATAATGAAAGTACGTCAATGTACTGATATATGTATAAAAAAATTAACGGGAGTCTAAATAAAATATTCATTTTAATGTAAAATGTAAATAAATTATAATTATGTTATATATAATATGTAATTAATCGCACTTATTTTATATATAATTCTTAATCAAGTTTATTCAGTACATATTATAGAAATGTATACGAAGTACACGCATATTAATTGTCAGTAGCACTTCCTGTGTTAAAGTTTATAGGAAAAAAGAAGACGTGACGGAGAATCATGTGGCACATGACCACGCATGAAGAATCATTTATTCTGTTAATTTATATACAGTTGTTACTAATGAAATTGGTTTTTCTTGCGAAAAGTAATGATCGTTAAATTTATTCGTTCGTGCGTAAATAAGCAATGAAAGTTACTCAGTCTTATGAAGAAATTTAATATTAAGCCAATCGTTATTCATGTTTATGAAGAAATTAGTAGTAATGAATCACGTTATCCTTATATGGAAGCAGCAGTATAAGCATAGTTTTACAAATGAAAAAAAAAACTCTTGTTTTAGCCTGCAAACTTAATGTGTTTATAACTCAGCTTTGTTATAATTGAAGTATGAAATCGCGCGCTAATAGTGTGGTAACGTTTAATATAATACTACAAAGCAAACATGGATGTTGAAATGGTCCCTGGTCGATATTATTCTAGTAAAAGCATTGTGCATTATTTGAAAACGGCTCTTATTCTCGGCTACCGCATTCAATTGAAAGTAGTTATTATCGTGGTCCTATTTCATGATAGAAGAAATTCGGTTAACTCATTAATTCAATTTTCAGTTATTAATTATTGTGATAGAAATTTGATATTTTTATACAAGCATTTTATTCAATAGTTTAAATATTCATATTCTAAAAAAGTATATTTTTCTGTATTGTGAATTATGAATTATCTACCTATATTATGACGGGATTATAAATTTAGGTAATTTGGTAAATCTATAAAAAAAAAACTAAATGTATAAAAACTACTCATTGAAATACTCAATAAGATGAATTGGTCGTACAATAATTGCTAATTCTTTGCATAAGTTATTTATTGGTAAAAATACAACACAAAATGCGTATAGAAATCAAATAAAATATTTATACTAGATTAACATTTAAAATGTTTATTCGCATATATTGTTTGATTAAATTAATTAAATATGATACGTGACGAGATCTGTAACATAGTAAAAATGTTAATATCTAGATATTAATATGATATTTGTTATTTAACATTTCAAGAAATTTGATACTTATAATTTTAATAATGTATACAATTTAACGTTTGTTATATGATAAATATAATAGAATGGAAAAGTTATTTTATTTAACAATATTTTATAAAATTCAATTATTGGTAAAATTTTCAATAAGTTTCGAATTGTAATTGATTTTTTTTTTTTTTTTTTTTTTTTTTTTTTTTTTTTATACGTCGTAATCAATTGTCAAGTATTTTATAAAATACATATTTCGTTTGAAAAACAATAGATGGCATTATATTTCATAGGTACATTAATTTACAAGAGGTAACATGAATTATTATTTAAAAATAAATGTATTAGGATAATGACTCTTTAATACGGTCGTAGATAAACATAATCTTTTGGAAAATCGATAATTGACATGGTTGTGTTATAATGCTTTTGATATTAGCAGCAGAGAAACTCGCGAGAAAAAAAATATAAACCGTGTCTAAACCAGGTTGCACACGATTTACTCGCGTTGATCAGCTTATGTAAAATTTCAGACATAATCGCGTTAATTATGCCTATCAACTAAGCTAAGCTTCAAATATATCACAAGTGATTGAAGCAGCTCCTCCCTTTTTTTTAAAAATTATTATATATATCAAACGTAACTCGAGCCACCACAATATAATGTAAAAAAAATTTGGTGTTAATCGAAACCACACCTGTCTTAAATATTTTGTATTAAATTACTGGACTCGATAAATAAATTCATTTTAAAAATTTTATTTCAGTTGACAAATTTGATATTACAATGTAATTCACCTATGTGTAATATGTTTACATTACTTTTTATATCATCTCTGTAATTATGATAAAAAAAAAAAAAATAAATAAAGGAAAGTGCACTTAGGAATGGTTAAACACAAAATTTATAAGTTGATAAAATTGTACATTGAAATACTAAAAATTCGTTTTACTAAATTTGATCAAAATTCAACTCATTTACATTAATAAAATCAAAAGTATATTTTGATTACATTTCTTAATCAATAAGTAAGTTGAAAATTGTTAATTAATTACGAATGTAGAAAACTCAATAAACGAAATTATGAATTAGAAGTTTGTATTATTATTAGATTTAAAAGCATGTATTTTTGTAAACAATTATGTTTTAAATCATGCAAGTTTTAAATGTAAAATTAGTGAAAAATAAATCGCTGTATAATTTCTTATACTTTCCTTAAGATAATTTCAAGTTCTTTAAGCGTAAAAAATAAAACAATGGTATATTTTACTAATTTTTAAAAATTAATAATTTATTTATTAATTATCTTTAATTATTTTGTATTGTAATACAATGTATATATTTGAAAATTTTATAGTTTTTACGAATTTCATGATATTCATCAATAGAACACGTTAATATATTATTTTATCTGACAATGACAAATTAAACGTATAGATTTTATAAAAATAGATAAAATATATAAATAAATATACATAAATATATATATATTATATATATATATATATTATATATATAATATATATATATATATAATATATATATATTTATGTATATTTATTTATATATTTTATCTATTTTTATAAAATCTATACGTTTAATTTGTCATTGTCAGATAAAATAATATATTAACGTGTTCTATTGATGAATATCATGAAATTCGTAAAAACTATAATAAACTTGTTGAGCAAAGTATAAAGTGTGATAACGTAATGTTTATTGTTACTTTTTAATTGCTTAAGATTTTAACAAAGATTATTCCATTCCCTCAAGTGAAATGATTTTTGTATTAACAAAAAATGTTCATTTTTTTTTTGGTAAACTATAATTAGATATATAAAATTTTTATTATTATACTTAAGTAAGGCTTTAATATTTATTTATTGTGAATAAAATTCGAAAGAATCGTTATTTTTTAAAACTTCATTGATGTAGATTTTTGATGTATTTGACCAAATTTGCCTTGATGTAAAGTAATGTCGGTATGTAAACACAAGTTTTTGTTTATCTTCTATGTTTGAAGTATGTGAAATATGAAAACAATAACATTTTATGAAAAAGGATGTATAAATTTTGATATTGATTGTTAAAAATAGTTTGAATAATTTTATACAAGTATTTCTTCATAGAGTTATGTTAAATAAAAACAAAATGTTAAAATATTCTTATAAATAAAATATTGTGAATTATACCAATAGATAAATATGTCTAGATTCGTAAAACATTAATATTATATTATGACATTTTGTTTAAGGTAAATAAAGATATTTTATCATAATATCTATCGCAAAAAAAAGAAGATAAAACGTTAATTTCCATCATTGTGTATTTGCCTGAACGCATATATTAAAAAATTTAGAACGTCAACAGTCAAATGTATTTACAGAAAAATGTGAATATAAAATGTAATTTGTATGTGTATATATGTAAAAAAATGTGTATTCCATTGTATTTTAAGATATTTAAATAAAATTTCAGTGCATACGCGAGAACCGTGACATTATAATTAACTTTATTTTATCGTCGATATTACTAATCGAACTATAAAATTATCATTAGCTATTTTTTAAAATGCAATAATTATATATTCGTGTGAGACTGTAGTTCGGCTACTTACTATATCTTATCGTTTACGGAGGCATAAATATTTAAATTACAATTTTCATAAAAATGTATTTGTTTAATCAAACTGGCTTTAATTAATTATTATTCGTTTAAACATTATTATGTTAATAACGCATATTACTGATTATTTGATCGCTTGTAATTAAGTACCGTGAAAATTTCGAGAAAATGCATGGCATTAAAGGCTAATAAAGTATCGCCTTTGATTTTCAGATTATCCGAGCCCTCGGGCAGCATTCACGATGGTGTGGGTAATTACACGACGGACGTAAAGTGCTCGTGGCTCATCGAAAGTAGCCCGAATTCAACGGTACGTATGCACATAGAGGAATTTGCCACGGAATGCGGCTGGGACCATCTGTATATCTTCGACGGGGATAGCGTCGAGGCGCCCCTACTCGGCGTCTTCACCGGTCTCATGCACAAGGACGACTATCATATAAGACGGGTGCCGGAAGTCATCGCCCGCTCGGGCAGCGCCCTTCTGCACTTTTACTCGGACGTTGCCTACAACATGAGCGGCTTCAATATCACTTACAAAGTTAATGCTTGTCCGAGCAGGTGAGAGGATTCGTTCATTTTGTTACGCCTTCGCGATTTTTTAGAATTTTTATTTTTCACTAAACTCGGCTTGCGGAGCGGATAGGGGTTTTGAAAATTTTTGCTCGTCATTACTCCGACGCCGTTCGTTAAATTATTTATTAACTATACGCCTATTACTCTGTAATAATACTTTATAGTCTTTATTTATTAGAAAATTGTGTTACGAAGATGTTCAAGAGCTATGAAGGATATTGTTAATAATAGAAAGCTTTGTTTAATAATTAAATTATTAACTGCTTAATTATATAAATTGTGATTTCCATTAGCCTTGACTCGATTTTCACGCCGTGGTGGTAGAAGCCTAGAATTAATCTTTTAAACTAATTCCTTCCTAAAAAAAGATTCTAGAGAAATTTTGCAGCTTCTGGTATTCGTGTTTTCTTTTATTTATATATTATTGTTATTATTATTATTTTTTTTTGTAATTCATAAGCTCATCACTAATCTAGTTAACTTTTAAATAAGATAAATCATTAATTAAATTTATTAACATTAACTGTGGTAATATAAAAAAATTCCTTGGCTAAACAATATTCGAAAATTATGTGACGATTGAAATCTTATTTTATAAAAAAAAAGTTTCAGATTTTATTTATATCTCAATTAATACATTTTATAGGTATTACACGCGATTACTTTTAAATTACAATCTTATTAAACGAGCAATAATGTATAAATTTTTTAAATTTAAATTATTTAAAATCTTATTTTTAAAAAATATTTATGAACATTGTATAGTAAAGGTAGACTCAAAATCTATATATTTTTGAAATGCAAGCAGAAAAAGAAAATAAAAAAAAAAACTTTTCAGAATTAATGTAATTCTACAGACATTGTTTACCTCGCTAATAGCCTTTTAATTGTAACTAGATCTATTGAAGCCTTTGAAATAAATGATTACAAGTAGTGAACGTCTATAACAGCTATAATTGAATTGAATCTTTACAAAATTACCTCGTAAATTGTATACTCTATAATCTTGCAAACTAATTTTCCCTTCAATTAAATACAAAATAATATCCTTTATAGCTCACTTTTAATTCACACGCTAAAAATTTTAGACTAAATTAAAATGAATGAGAAATTTAATCCTTTATTTTGGGAATATATTTAAAGAGAGAGAGAAAAAAAAACTAATATACATTACTATAATTGTTTATACGACAATAGCGTCGAAATATAAAAACTATGCACAAAATAAATCGATGTAAATAGGCACTTTTGTATGCATAAAGAAAAGAAATACCACGATCGAAACAAGTTGTGGGTATCGTCATCCTCTCTTTCTCGTTTTCTCGCCAAGAAAAGAATCGATGCGCTCTGACTATGCTCGGGTGTCCTCTCCCATCTTTCTCTAACTACTTCGTCTCTTCGTCGGCCTTCCGAGTTTACTGACACTTGACTGCTACGTGGTCTGAATCATAGTTATACGTTGATGGTAGCAGGCAACGACCAACAATCTTAACCGCCTTATTAAAATTAAAAAATTTTATTTAACATCTGTTCGGACTTTTTATTATTTAGAAAGTTTATTTCTAAATAGACCAATGCTCATAAGAAATAACTAGGACATTAGAACTAACGAATTTGCTTATTTATTATTTGTATTATATTTTATTTATTTATTTATTTATTTATTTATTTATTTTCGACACTCATTAGATGTAGGTCAGTGTCACTTTATGGAAAAGTATTATGAAAATATCGATAAAATTATTATATTTTATGCAAATAAAGTAGCGACATCACTTGAAATTGATTATGATATAATTCTTTCACAATATTTATATGCGCAAAGAAATATATTATAAAAGAAAAACACTAATTTCAATTGTCAATTCTTAAGTCTCAAAATCAAATAGTTTTATGACATTTTTGTAGTTTAATACAAGTAATACTGACTAATACTGACAAAAGATATTATAAAAAATTTCTTTATTTTATATATAAAATTATATGTATTAACCATACGTATTACAACATTATCTTATATTAGTCATTATAATATTTGGAAAAATGCTTATCAAACAACTAAATTGACTCTTCTTGTGTATGATTAAGCTACTTAAAATAAGTATGTTCGAAAATCTAGAAAAAGTATTGCTTGGAATCTGTATTGAATAAATATCAATGAAATTATTAAACTGATAAATAAACAGCATTTGAGAAAGTAATCAAGAGCACATAATTACATTAAAGAAAACTCTCTCTCTCTCTCTCTCTCTCTATATATATATATATATATATATATATATATATATATAGAGAGAGAGAGAGAGAGAGTTTTCTTTAATGTAATTATGTGCTCTTGATTACTTTCTCAAATGCTGTTTATTTATCAGTTTAATAATTTCATTGATATTTATTCAATACAGATTCCAAGCAATACTTTTTCTAGATTTTCGAACATACTTATTTTAAGTAGCTTAATCATACACAAGAAGAGTCAATTTAGTTGTTTGATAAGCATTTTTCCAAATATTATAATGACTAATATAAGATAATGTTGTAATAAAAAAAAATTAACAAACCAACGATCAAAGTACTGAAATACTTCCGCCTACGGTTTTCTACGTAATTCTATACAATTCAAATGCGAATAAGTAAATTAAGAGCGATTATAAAACGAGGCGAGCGTCGAGCAAAACTCGTTGAAACTCAATGCCTGTGTGGGTCTGTGTGCTTGGCAGGGATTCGCACGTCGACTGCTCGGGACACGGAGTTTGCATCGAGGGCATCTGCACGTGCGACGCCACATGGATGGGCGAGGCTTGTGACGTACCCGTTTGCCCCAACAATTGCTCGGCCCATCGGGGACAGGGCAAATGTAACCATGAGTGGCATCGCTGCGACTGCTTTCACGGATACAAAGGTATGCGCTCGTTGTTGGTGCTTTAACGGCGAACCACAGCCTCTCGATACGCGGAGAGCAATGGTTCCACATGGTGCCAATCATCCACGACATAGAAGATAAAAAATTGAACGACAGCGACCATTGTGCATGAGCGCGTTTTACGTTCTATGCATAAAAGGGTGATGCATAATTGCTGAAAAAGATTCATTGTTAAACGGAATATTTAACCTTTTTCATCTATTGTTATACAATTTAATGGCTAATTTCATTTTAAATCAGATAAACTATATTATTTTCGCGAAATCTTTTACAAAATGCCGTATCGTCTGTATTTGTAAAAGGCATTTACAGTTAATTGCAAAATAATTTATGCCTTCCTCTATTACCTTTACAGTTGTAACAGCTGGTAAGCGATATTAGGTTTGATACTGATAATTTATGTGTATCTCCGCCTCGTAATTAAAGACTTTAAATTAGTCAATAGAAATTTAAAACATTGTTAATCGATGGCAGTAAATAAAATTTTTATCAGAATATTTTTAAATATTCAATGAGTTTTATCATATTTCCTTATGCAAGAGCAAATCTTAAATTAGCTTTAAAAGTCAATGACAATCATATTTGATAAAAAAAAGTCTATTATAATATTGTTGATCTTATTGTGTGTAGATGTGTGTATATATATATATACAATATACAAGATTTGATATTGATTTTAAAAATTAATAAGTCGAAAGATTTTTAAAATTTTACAAAATAAAAAAATACCGTGCTTATTCTTTTTTAACTATATTTTAAATGAAAAGAAAAAAGTTTCATCTACAATTGAGATCGTTTCATTTTTCTATTAAGAACAAATTACATTTTGTAACATCAATCACTTCTTTATTAAATTTAATATAAAAATATTTTCCCTTGAACATTAGATGTATTGGTAGTAAACATTTAGTAATATAATGTTTCTCAATTCTATAAGAATATTCTGGCATAAGTACATATTGTATTTATTATCGTAATTTCATTATTCGATTCGTAAACTATGCCGCCATATTATAATGTCAATTATCAGCATCAAAATTTATATGAACATTAAACAATATATCGATTTAAAAAATTTTAAGGAATAAAATCATATATTTGAGCATACTAAAAGTAAAAAACATACTAAAAATAGTAGTTTTTTAACGATATGTTCAAATATCGTCTTAAACTATTATTTTCAAATATCTCGAATAGACTTCTTTTATATAATTAATTCCGAAAAAAATGCCATTAACAGTAAATCGTAAAATATATCAAAATTTGATCACAAAATATTTATAATCGAATTGGAATTAAAATCAAAGTTCCTTTTTTAAAGAAAATAATTAACAAATGCATGAAAATCGAAGGGAATTATTATGTAAATGATAAGTTTGTTTTTATAATACGAAATTTTATTCACATAAAATTTAAATAAAAATACATAACTTTTCTTTTGAATTTTTGTTTTTTAGCTAAATTTCATATGATTTTAAAATTCATATAGTTACATTTATATTTTTTTTTACATACGTTCCATATAATTAAACTGCAATTGGCAAATAATAAAAAGAAAATTTTAAATATACTAGTCCGAAAAAAATGCATTTCCATATTTTATAAATTTTCAGAAAACATAAGGCCATTATTATATTATTGTTATTTGTCAATTAAGATTCATTCAAAAATTCATCTATTTTTCTAAATATTTGAAATATTAATACAGGAATTTAAAATATTTTTCGCATATTATTTATTGTTAAAATAATTGAAAAAATTTAATTTAAATTAACAGATTGTTGAACTAGTCTAGTTAATGCCTATAAGCATCTGTTTAAGTTAATTTATAATTAAGAGGCAACAAACGTGCGCGTGCAATAAAATAAATGAAAAATAGAATAATTTAAAGTCTAGCAGTTTATTCGCATTCAATATTTATAAAATGATAAAACTTATAATTTGTATTTTGTATGAATATATGGTGCTTTTGAACTTGGAAAATTCCTTATCAATAAGCTATGAAATTACAAATTAGGTGCCGATTGTAACCAGACAAGTGAGCAGGGATACTGGGAGGTCGTGCATTACAACGACTTGTCGCCGGAGGGTTCGGCGAGTCACTGCGCCGTTGTCTGGCAGGATTCGTTATACATTGTCGGCGGCGAGAGTTTTCATCGGGCCAAAATGATCTATGTATACGACTACAACGGGAATGTGTGGGAGACACCCCACGTAACGAGCAGGCAGCCTTTACCGAGATATGGCCACTCTTGCGTTTTGTTCGGCGACAAAATTTATATGTACGGTGGTGTCATCGAAAACTCAACCGTTACCAATGAGATCTGGGCTTTCGACGTTTCGGCCAAATTATGGGAAAACGTTACTGTCCACGATAACTGCCTTAATAAAAGCATGTGCGGTCCACTTAAGGTTAGTCGATGAAAAGACACTTTTCTAATATCGATTTATTCCCGAAATATTTACTACCACCGCTACAACAACTATTGCTACCACTGCTACCACGACTGATACAACTCTATCTGGTTAATATTAAATTTTAATAAGAAGTAATTTATTGTATTGTAAATACTTGGTCAAAGAAAATTATAGAGTATAAATTTTTGTCTTAACCATAGTTTACCAAAAACATTATTACATTATAATATTTTATAATACAATATATATGATCGTATTTTGATAATATAATTATCAAAACATAAAGAATCGACGAAATAGACGTGGCAAAAATGTAAAAACTTATTAACGTTCACTTTTAAAAGCGTAATTATCTTGCAACTACAGGCGGTCTAATATGATTCGAATAAAAATAAACAAAAACAAACAAAAAAAAAAAAACAAAAAAAAAACAAAAAAACTAATCTGTCTCGATAAATAATGAACTTTATTTACTATATTGCCATAATAATTTGTTGACCAGGTTGCTGGTCATACAGCAAATCTTATCCAGAGCCACGACAAAAAGGAAAAGATGGTTGTAATTTTCGGGCACTCGCCGCAATACGGCTATCTTAATACCGTCCAAGAATACTACTTCAGTGCGCGCGAATGGCAAGTCGTCGATACATACGGATTCCCAGTAAAGGGTGGTTATGGCCACAGCTCGGCACACGATCCTCACAGCAACCTCATTTACGTGTATGGCGGATACGTATCCGAGTCACAGCTGAGCCAGGTCCTCACCAACCGATTATACTCCTACAATCCGAACATACCGCGCGAATGGCGACTCTTAACTTCCGCCCCGTCGGCACGATTCTTTCACACAGCTGTCTTTCTTAGCGACTCCCTTATGCTTGTATTTGGCGGCAACACGCATAATGATACATTACACTCGTACGGAGCGAGATGTTACTCGGCCGATACGATTGCCTATGACGTTACGTGTGACTCCTGGAGGCAGTATAATATACCTAAAGAAATGACCGACCTGTCACGGTATGGACATAGTGCCAGCATTTTTGGCAAATCAATGTACGTCTTTGGTGGATTTGATGGGCAGATGTTGTCGGATATGCTCAGGTATTTATTTAAAAAGTCGATTTTTTTTTGTCCGCTGAATTTGTATTAAACTTCCTCGGTTACGTAATTCTTAGCAATAAAAATATTATCTTGTAACTCCATATTGTGCTATTGATTTTGACAATAATAGTTATCGACCGATAATTCATCATTTGAAATGTGTTGAAAATCATTATCACAGAATTGAAAATACAAACATAAATAATTATTTATTTCAACCGTTGCATAACTTTTAGTTTTTAATTATTAACCGTAATACGAGAGAATTGTATAAATTTTATTTTACTTTGTTAGGTATACTCCCGGTAGTTGTGAACAGTTACGAAATCACAGCCAGTGTCTAAGTTCGAAAATAGGATTGAAATGTGTGTGGGATAAAAAGCAGAGCACTTGTCTTCCAATCACAAGCATTCCTAAGCACATCCCGACGATCGATGATCCTCACGATGGAAAATATGTACGCTGTTTAGATGATACTCCACCCCGTGGCATGACCTCGCACAAGGAGCTTTGTAAACTAATAACAGATTGCGTTGCATGCGTCCAAACATCCTACAATTGCGTTTGGTGCGGCAAAAGCTGCTCTCATGAAATCTGTAGGAATATTGCAAATGCTCCATCATTAAGAGCTGTCAACGCTTTGGAATTGTGTGATTTACGCACCGGCGTTGAATGCTTTCAGTTACACACTTGTCAAGCTTGCAGTAGTAATCCAAACTGTATTTGGTCTTGGTCAAATGGTCCTGACAGGTGTAAACCTTTATCCGAAATTGCCATCGTAAGTCTCACAACCAATTAGCTATTATCTTTCCTCATAATTTGCTTCGTATCTCGTGTTACATTCTAAGATAGAAGAAAAAAGGAGGAAGATTACATTTTCGGCAAAAATCGTAATATAATCCAATTATGTTACATATAATTAGCCAATGTTTTTTTTTTCCCCCTGTCTATTGAGTAATATGACAATATTCTCATATTTCGTAAAGAAAATAACATCTTGCGATTAATAAAAGATTGATAAAACGAATATAATTCTAGTTTAATAAAGTGAAATTATGCTTATATGTGTTTAAGGCGAGCTCGAATAATACAATTCAGCCACAGCGTTCCCCGGTAGACATTTGTCGAAGTCCCTGTGTCGAATATACATCTTGTCGTAATTGTACTGAGACTGAATGTATTTGGTGCCAGAATGAGGAAAGATGTATTGATAAGAATGCTTATCCTGCAAGTTTCCCATATGGACAATGTCGAGAGTGGACGACGTCGCACGATAAATGTCGTTCCACTAAAACAGGTACCGAGTGGTGTAGCTCGCATAATTCTTGCGCTAATTGCAGAGCAGATCCAGCCTGTGGATGGTGTGATGATGGATCGGATACGGGAAGGGGCAAGTGTCTACCGGGAGGTGCTCGACAACCGAGTCACAAGAGTCCCGAAAGATGTCCTACAGACCGTTGGTTCTTCACCGAATGTCCAAGTAATTTTATTATATTATTTCAAATACTCCTTAAATGAAGCTATTTTCTGTCATTCTTCCAATGTATATTATTTATTAGGCATTCGCATCTAAAATAAGTCATTCATAATATTCTTTCAAATTATTGAACATAAAACACTTTATTCTTAATATTTTTATTTACTTTACTCTCTAACGAGTTTATTATAAATTTATTAAATTATTATATTATTTTTTCTCTATCATCATAATAAAGCATTTATTTATAAATATCTAATTATTCCAATAAACATTTATTCTCTAATAAACATAATTAAGTAATTTTACTTAGTAATGTTTATGAATCAGATTAAAATATTATAATAACAAATTGTGCTTTTTTAGTTTGTCAATGCAATGGCCATAGTCTATGCCATCCCAATAGTAGCGAATGTATGCAACCCTGTGAAAATTTAACGCAAGGACAACATTGTGAAAAATGTAAGCCCGGTTATTATGGAAATCCTCTAAATGGAGCTACTTGTCAACGTAGGTCTTATATATTAAATAAAATTTATTTATATTAATAAATTTAATAGTAATAAAATCAAATAATTTATTTCGACTATGCGTCTAATATAATGTTTTATTCGTTCAGCTTGTTCATGTAATGATCAGGGAACAAACTGTACCAGCGAGACTGGTAAATGTTTCTGCACAACGAAAGGTATCATAGGTGACCATTGTGAAAGATGTGATGTGAGCGGACTTTATCACGGTGATCCTACAAATAAAGGATCATGTTTTTGTAAGTTTGATAATTCAATTACTTCTCAAATATATAAAATAAAAATATCAAATTACCGACTATATTATATAAAATAAGACTAATATAGGAAAATAATAATTGCAGAGAAAATAAAATTTATCATATATTTTTTAGATGATCTTGCAATTGACTATCAATTTACATTTAATCTGAGTAAAAAAGAAGACCGTCATTATAGAGCAATAAATTTCAAAAATTCTCCGCCAAAACCTGATGTGGACGCTGATTTCTCCATAACATGTTCTGTAATAGCTAGGATGAATATAACTATTAAAAAAGCTAACAGCCCAGAAAAACCATTACTCCTTGGAGCTAATTGTACAAACTTAACTTATAAACATCGATTCAGCAAAGCTGATTATAATTTTGGCAACGAAGATAATAATACCCTCACAACATTTTATGTTTACGTCTATGATTTCCAGCCTCCACTATGGATTCAAATTTCCTTCTCTCAGTATTCGAAACTGAATCTACAACAATTTTTTATCACATTTTCTACGTGAGTATTATTAAACGTTTAAATTATAAATTCATATTTAATTAGGAAATTATTTATGAATTAACTTTACATTCATTTTATTCTGAACGAAATTTTCAAATAAGTCGCTATCTTAAAACTCAGGCAGTATTTACTTGTAAACTAGAGATTATGTGTTCCCACATAGATGCTTCCTTGCGTTATTGTTAGTGGCAGCGATTCTCTGGAAAATTAAACAAAAATACGATATGTACAGAAGAAGGCAGCGTCTTTTCGTAGAAATGGAGCAAATGGCTAGCCGAGCATTCAGCCAAGTATTAGTAGAAATCGAAAGACGTGAATCGTCCATTTCGGAAAATGATGGAAGTGACACAGAAATGAATAATTCTCGGAAAAAGAAAAAGAAAAAGGTTTGCTTTAATGTGTATATAGATTTTTTTTTTAATTTGTATATGTTTATAATAATTAATGGTTATATCTTTGTATATCTAAATATTATACATGAAAAGTAATGGCAAAGAAGTATCGATATTATTATTATAGAACTTATAAAATTAAAGTAAAAGAAATTAAGAAAATGTTCATATTTAATTTATGATATGTTGCTTATTGCAATTGCAATTATTATCAGAATATCATAATTACTTTATAAAAGAAAGGTACATTATGTACATTTCACATTTATTTATATATATATATATATATATATATATATATACTTTTACATTATACATTTTTATTTTTTTTTTATTTATAATTTGATGTTACTCCATAAGTAAGAAATAATTTTTTTGAATAAATACTTCAATTTATTATATTGCTTTATATATATATATATATACTTTTTTTTTAGCTTAGTTATATTAATAATTATTTAATTTAAAAAATTTTAATTGAAGCGACCGAAATTAAAATAAAGAATAATTTTAGTTAAATAGTTTTTAGTAATTTAATTTTAACGATAATCAAATTGATAATCAATTAACAATGATTTTTTGATAATCATGATCTCTTTATACGCATTAAAATCGTTATAAGCTCCAACTATAAGCATTATACTGTTTGTGCATGTATAGAAAAATGTCCTTGACATTTAAGATACGCTACATACAATGCAGAAAATAAAATAAAACAAAAAATTACATTAGAACATGACTATCGATTAACTGGATTTTAACTTTATAAATATATCTTGGAATCTATTCTCATTTGGTAACGTAAGAACAAAAGCTAGTTGTACAAAAAGTAAAGTTTTAATTAAATAAATTAAATTTCGTCTAGGGAAATGTTATTGTGTCGAGTAATTATTGACGAATGAATTAGCAACTAAATGGATTCTGCCAATAAATGACTAGTTGAATCTAGGAATTGTAAAGAACGGTTGAAATTCCTTTTGCAGGATGCTCCAAGTCCAATCGCTTTGGAGCCTTGCTGCGGAAATAGGGCAGCTGTTCTTGCCCTACTAGTCAGGCTGCCCACCCGAGGAGAGCTTGCGGGATTAGCAGTCGCCTCGGCTCTCGTTACCCTTGGCAGTCCGCGCAGGCCGTCTCAAGAACTGACTATCAAGGAGCCTAAAAAATCGCGAAAGTCGAGCAGTCAGCATCCCGAAACAACGTGCATTTAGCGTTAAATAAGAAAAAATAAAATAACGAGTTTCATTATATTTTTAAATTTTTCATTTTACAAGAAGGATCGTGTAGGCCTTTGAACTTCTTCAAGTTCTCATACTCATATTAGATTCTCACATCATCGAAAGACTTACTCTATCATCTCTTATTAGCGATGACACGATCGACTGCCTAGTTCTCCTTCGCATAGTAGCATCATTATTCTCTTTATTTTATTATTATCATTACTGTCAGTTTTAATCATTCATGGTACTTACATCGCTAATCTCGTGCTCCAAAGATTGAATAAAGTTAACTGTTAGCGCAAATTCATTCGGTATATACGTAAATATGAAATACGTAAAGTATCGGCATAAAAATTTATTTCATTATATATTCACGAGCTATTTTTTAATGAGCGAACGTGAAACTCCACGTAGTGTAAAAAATTTCTTTCTTATGTAATTCAATAACTTTTACTGCGGAGGAGAAAAGCCAAAAGTGATTCGTACAGAGAATAAGAGACGTGGAGAATCACGCCGAGATATTGTACAGTTTTGTATATATAGTTGTATGTATACAACGGATATCGGAACTTTTTTTTTTTTATTAGACGACGAAAAACTCTTATTATTATAAATAATTAACGCGAATCGCAAGTCTTCTTGACGACTAGAAGGTGCTCAGTTACTGAAGTAATATGAATACAGTGAAAAGGGTAGAAGAATAATTTAATAAAATTACTTTGTGAGGCTGATCATTCGCTAAATATGAACAAAGAATCAATTGTCGACATTCGTGCTTTGTCGATTTGTAAATATATCGATAACATTTTATGCCAAGTTAGAGTCGACGTCGACTATAATAATATCAATAATAATAATAATAATAAGAAGAAGAAGAAGAAGAAGAAGAGGAAGAAGAAGAATAACAACAACAACAACAACAACAACAACAACAACAATATTAATAACAATACGAATAATAGTAATAACAAAATTAATAATAATACGAATAATATTAACAATATAATAATCACACGAATAGTAATAATAATAATAATATTATTAATAATAAAAATAATAATAGTAGTAGTAGTAGCAGCAGCAGCAGCAGCAGCAGCAGCAGCAGCAGCAGCAGCAGCAGCAGCAGCAGCAGCAGCAGCAGCAGCAGCAGCAGCAGCAGCAGCAGCAGCAGCAGCAGCAGCAGCAGCAGCAGCAGCAGCAGCAGCAGCAGCAGCAGCAGCAGCAGCAGCAGCAGCAGCAGCAGCAGCAGCAGCAGCAGCAGCAGCAGCAGCAGCAGCAGCAGCAGCAGCAGCAGCAGCAGCAGCAGCAGCAGCAGCAGCAGCAGCAGCAGCAGCAGCAGCAGCAGCAGCAGCAGCAGCAGCAGCAGCAGCAGCAGCAGCAGCAGCAGCAGCAGCAGCAGCAGCAGCAGCAGCAGCAGCAGCAGCAGCAGCAGCAGCAGCAGCAGCAGCAGCAGCAGCAGCAGCAGCAGCAGCAGCAGCAGCAGCAGCAGCAGCAGCAGCAGCAGCAGCAGCAGCAGCAGCAGCAGCAGCAGCAGCAGCAGCAGCAGCAGCAGCAGCAGCAGCAGCAGCAGCAGCAGCAGCAGCAGCAGCAGCAGTAGTAGTAGTAGTAGTAGTAGTGTAGTAACTGTAGTAGTAGTGGTAGTGGTAGCGGTAGTGGTAGTAGTAGTTGTAGTAGTATAGTAGTAGCAGTAGTAATATTATAAAAAGGAGTAATACTACAAAAGGATAGTGGTGAAAGCTAGTTGTACAAAAAGTAAATGTAAATTCAACGGAAGAATAATTGAATGCACGAATTTTTTAATGAAAATTGCATATGTAATTGCCAATAAGTAATCATTGTAAGTTTCAACGAGATTTTTCAAGACAAATGGTTGAAAACAATGCAATAAAGGTACAAGTACAAGTGGAATCATCTTTTCTATTTGTAAACATTATCTATTGAATTGCGCGTGCTTAATATGTTGTAAATTATCTTTGATTAATTAAAGATAAAATGTGTATGATACTGTGATTTTACAAACATTTTTATTTACATTATTTTTTATTGTAAATTAATGTTTTCACTCATGGTATTATTTTTATTTTGATAGATTTAAAATCAAGATAAAGATGAATAAAGTATAATATTCTTTAATAAAATTTATACAAACTTTTAAAAACTAAAATAAAACGTAACTTAATATTAATTTGTGAATTATTATAAATTATGCATGCATTTTTAAATTAATATCTTTGGATTATTTTAAATATTTTACTAAAAGATAAAGTGCAGTATTGCTTAAAAAATGCCTTATTAAATATTCTTTGCAATTTAAATATAAATTCATACATTTTATTTCTTGTAATAATCAGGCATTTATTTATTTTTACTTTTTTAAACCAATTAAATTCTATTTTATTCAAATTAAATTATGCTTTGATTTATTTACAAAATATCATTAATATAATCCCAAGTAAAAGATGATTACATTTAATGACAGTTTTGAAATTGTTTGGAATTTTTGCTTCCGACCTATGTAGACAACAAAAAAATTTATGTGTATTTAATAATCATTCCAAAAAATTTTATGCATCCAAGATTTATTATGATGCTTAATATAAAAATTTATTATCAAAGTACATGTTATCATATAAAGCTGGACATATTCTTTTCATTAAGTATATTCAGTTTTATCTAGTCTATAATGGAAAAATTGCTTAGTGGATGTTGTATTGCAAAATATGCATGTCAGATTTTTATGATATTCATAAACTTTGAAAATGCAATTTATATAAAAAAAAAAGATAGAAAACATTAGAAAGCCACAGTATTTTTTCATTGATTTAAACGATACTCGTATAAAAATTTCGAACAAATAAATAATTATGTATGTACTCGCTTCATAATTTAGTTACATTATTATGATCATGTAGATATGTTTTTATTATCTTTAAAATAATACGAATTGCTACTTAAGTTTCATATCACCAAAGCAGGATCGAACATTATTCTGTTCTAAATACTTTCGAGAAATCCATGTATTTTCTATTTCGTATTTAATTTTACAACTAATTTCCTAATATAAATTTACAAAATGAACAAAATTATAAATTTAAAAAAAATAATATTCATATATATATATGTATATATATATATATATATATATATATATATATATATTTATTTATTTATTTATAAATGTGAAGATAAGCATGAAAAATGATATTGAAGTAACTAAAGTTATGACGTGCAATGTTTTCCTTCTTTTATAAAAAGAGATCGATATTCCAAGACTGGTAAATGGTATTTTGATCAAAAGAAAGAGAACGAATGCGCAAATTAGAAAGAAATATTTTGTACGAATGAAATTAAGAATGTATGAGAAAAAGAAAGCTAGCCTCGACTGTATTTTTTTCTAGAACCTAAGGACTAGATGAGTGGTATGAATGCTGATAAAAAAAAATGTGAAAGTTCCATGAAAATTAAAAAATATATTGTATTATAAAATAAAACAAATTTTGTTTAAATAAACTTGATATATATGTATATAGAAATTACTTGATTACATTTTGGGGATCAAGGGCAGACTAAATAGAAAAAAATCTTTTAGAGACTATAAGATATATTTATATTCTTTTGCTGTCATTATCTTAATTCAAAAATTATTGCTGACTATTTAATTAGACCTAATTACAAATATAATTCAAGTGCAAATTGAACTACAAAATAACATTTTTCTTGACAATCATTATGTCAATGTTTGTAGTGGTGCCTATTACAGAAAAGCATTTTTATATTATTTATTATTTATTTTCAATTATTCACTGAAAAATCTAAGGTAAACAATTTTCATATATATATATCATAATTTTATCAAGTTCCTTGAACTTGTAAATCAATATTATCAAATATTTACATTTGTCTCCATTATTTCATTTTAATATAGTCACTTATGCACTCATAACCAGTATACCATGCTCTTTGACTTTTATACTACATGTGTAAATATCCTGTGACCTCACCATAAAAAAAAGTTCAACTCATATAATTTTTGCAATAAATTCGAATCATGCTCACCTAATTACCATACTTTTTTTCTTATATAACTTAATTTGGATATTATATGTAGGAACTTCGGCGTCTTAAAAACGCTATTTACAACGCTTTTACATTGCTCCAAATTCATCTTCCTTTTTTCAAAAGCTGTTACTTTCACAGTTTTAAAAATGCACATGTCCCATTATTAAAGTTAAAATTATATAGCAAAGAATTCTTTTCTTCATTGCTTTGGTTCAACTGCACAAATGTTTCAACAAATTAAAGAATGAAAGAAAAAGAAAAACTAAAGTTTTAACAAAATATGACAACTCTATGTTGTTTTTCTAATTGTCGACTGATCGTCAATCGAATATCTATTCCAACACAATGCAACAGGTTCACATTGTTCATCGCCTTCGTTATTTTCTGAATTATTAGGTTTTTCAGTGCTTCTATCTGTTTGAGCTTCTAAAACTTCTTCACAGGCTCTTTCAAAATCCACTTCACATTTTAGTTCACTTTTTAATGTATTGATAATGTCATAAGATGTAGTTCCATCCTTAACTTCGGGAAGGCTTATTCTTGATAATTCATCATCTCCTAGACCTCTACTTGCTTCTGGAATTTTATGATCGTCGTGAATATGTAATACAAGACAGGACATTGTATGGTATATTTTTCCACAAATTTCGCATTGAAAAGATGTCCCATCTTCGGACTCTAGACAATGGGCATACTCCTTGTGGGTGTGGTATATTTTTTTATGAAGTGCCATATGTTTTTCATGATCTACAGCTAAAATAAACTCGTATGAGCATATTTGACAGTATAAATAATGTTTTTCATATCGTGTATGGGATCTCAATCGGTGTACACTATCACAAATTTTGCTACACACTGGGCATTTCAAACATACATGATTTTGCAAAGCTTCATCGGTATCGAAAAGGCCAGAACAATTATTGCACTGTGACGTTTTTC